CCCCCCCCCCCCTCCCCCCTCTTCAAACCTTTGTTGAACCCCTTGACATTAATGTCTCTAAGGTACTGAAAAACGCATCAGTCAGCTCATCACTATAAATAACATCAGCAGCCACCAGCAAAGAAGCATTCTCTGCATCTTCAATTTCTCTGGAAGTCCAAGAATACCTGGATCATGCATAAAGTGATTGTCACACCTGATATACACTGTAAATAAAAAGTATTAAAGTAGTAGTTGAGTTCATGCCAGAACCAATGGCAAATATTGCAAAAGACATAAAAGCATCCTTGTTAGAAGTTAGACACTCAAACTCAACCCCCAAAAGAAAAATAAAGAAGCAATAATTTCTGGAGACTATTCATCAAATAATTTTACTTTTGTGTGCAAGGAGCCTCTTCTATTTTTGTTTTAGGAGGCCAGCAATTGAACCAATCAAGTTCACGTACGTAAATTTTGGCTTGATAATTCAATGATCCAAAATTAAGCTGAACATTCTTTGCACAGTTGTCCAGTATTTCAGTTCCATGGTCTGTCAAATAATAATAAGCGTTAGCTGTCCATTAAAATCATCAACTTTAAAAGAACTAAACAAGTTCCTTAGATGATGCAGATTGATCCAGATAAATCTCTAGAATTATGCAATATAATCCCCATTTGTAATATGAGAATATAAATATTGGAGCTGGGAATAGTGACTCAAATAAAGGAAGGCACCATACCTGTTAGGAACACTGTATTTGCAAAGCGTGCAAGTAATAAACCCACCAAGCCTGGTTGAAAACTTGAAATCAAAAACATTTCTTAATAAATAACATGATGTCCTTTAAAATTGACAGATTTAATTATTCCTTTTCACAGATCATCAAAATAATCATTAGGAATGCCTCAAAGTGTTTCATTAACAATCAGCAGTTGAATAAAAAAAACACTTCTTTTTGTAACAATAACAAATTCTTTTGACTAAATTATTCATTTGGTCCCTTTATTTATTTTTTGGTTTCAATTTAGTTCTATTATTTTTAAATGAGTCAATTTAGTCCAACTTTTATTTAATTAATATCAATGTTTGATTTACATTAGTCTTGTTTAAATAATTAATGGTGGATGCCTATGTGGATATGACATGGATTTATTGTATTACTTTTAACTAGCTTTTAGTTACGGACAAACTCTAGGATGGAGACTAAATCATGTCTCCCACCATGAATTGCGAGTCATTAGATCTGCAACATTGTAAATTAATAGCTAATTTTTTTTCCTTTTTTCTTTTTTCCCAGTTTACCCTTTTCCAGCAACCCCTCCCAACCACATTACCTAGATCATTGTGTGACACTGGCGAAGGTGGTGGCGTTTTTTCTTTCCCTTTCCTTCTTCCCTTTTTCTTTCTTATCCAACTACTGCACACTGCCATGGAGAATATTTTTGATGACCTTCCCTTTCCCTTTTTCTTTTTCCTTTTTCAGCTTTAGACCTGTAAATTTCCTTTTCCAAATCAGATATGCACATTCAAACCAGATAAAACTCTCACTTACAGTCCCAACCCAAATCTCAACAACCCAATAACCAACACAAGGGACAAACCATATCTGCAAAACCCAACATCTCTAGAACACTTGCAATGATATCATCATGCTTCATCGTCGACAACCTCCACAAAGTGGTGTCGTTTCGAAACTGAGAACATGACTTGATACCGAAAGAGAAACCGACACTTGTGATGGTGCGGTTATGTAGTGCTTCGGCGGCGACAAAGGTGTGATGGATTGGTGGTAGCTAGGTGTGGTGCTTGTGGTAGATTGAATAGCTTAAAAAGGAAGGAGAGGGTTGTTTGAATTTGGAATTGAAAGAAGGAAGGAGAAGGGTGAAATCGAAAATTGGGCAGCATGTTGGTCTTCAATCTCGCCCAGACGAATGCATAGACACCCGCTTCGGAGCTAGCGTAGGAGGCGCCACAATCTCCATGCTTGGCTGCAACGTTGTTACTGGAGCTTAGTAAATGTGTTTCTTTGCTGCTGAATTATCTCAAGTTAGAGGAATGCTAAAACTCTATTTTTAACACACTATTATTTAATGAAATCCTAAGTTGGACCCATCATATATGATATAACCCCCTTCAGGCCTCCATTTTATTAGTGGGGTTAACATATGTCTTCACCAGTATTAAAGAATGTGTCCTAGCATTTGTCATCTCATAATCATAGTTAAATTGAAGTCAGACATGAAGAGTGAAGGATCCAATAGCATATTTCACTCAACCATTAATCTTAGGTTTGAAAATGTTAGAAGCCTATTGAGCTTCTCTGGCTAGGCCCTAGTCAGAGAAATGGATTGCAAAACGTAAGAAGAAATAACAAAAAAAAAAAGAGGGAAACTAACTAGGAACATACCAGTTCCAGCGCCAAGTTCTAATGCCGTAACTCCGTGAAGTTGAGAGGAACAGGATGCTCTATGCAATATAAAATCAGACAATAGTAGTTCAGCTTTCCAAACCTGACTACGGCAAAAAGAAAAACAATCAAAGAGACGCGCATGGAATTTAAAACGAAAAGAGTAATTTATGAGAAATGGTAATGGATTAGACTTTAGAGATACCTGGAGACCAACATTTGAAATTGACGATGTGATGTTATGCTGGATTTTCACACTGAGGCCGTCACGTGAATGTGGTGCATTTGCTTTAACAAAAGAGAGTTTTAGTTACATAATTAAGCGTCCATGGGAAGGAAAGAAAAGATAGGGTTGAGAAGTTACTGGTGCGTCGAGGGAGAAGAAGGTCACCGTCCGCATCGAATTCCAGATTGCGAGCAACATCTAAGATACCAGAAACGGTGAAAACAGAAATATAGGGCCCGGAGAAGGAGGGTGGACAACCCAGGTGAACCTCGCTCATCACTTCCTCGTCGTCACCGCCTTTTTCTTCTTCCGATTCCATTACCGCCACACTAAAATCAAATTATTTTTCTTTTCACCAGATTAACAAATGCTCTTCTTTCTGCCTAATTCTTCCGCTAAGTTTTGGGCCAATGTTTCTATTATTCGTCATACCAGCCCAATAACATCTAAAAGAAATCTCATTGTTTCCTAGCAGAAAGTACACCTTTTTTTAAAAAAAAAATCTTAAAATATATTTAATTTTTTATTTTTTATTTTTTTACATACATCTTTCTCTTTCTTTGTTTGGCTCATGATTAATGACCGAACGTCCCTACCTGTACAATATATATATACACTATGTACATTTAAAGAAAAAAAAGTATAGAGTACCTTTTACTCACTAATAATAATAAAAACAATAGTATAACCAACATATTTCTTTTGATTGTGAATATAACCTATTAAAAAACTTTATTTGTGAGTTTCAAAATTATTTAACACTAAATTGCTAATCTCTGAAATACTCTTTTATTCAATTAAGATTATATTTTAATAATTATTTTTATTCGTAATATCAAATTCAAAGAAATAATAACTTAAAAAAATAGACAATATCAGTAAAATTAGATGGTGTTCACGAATTTTTTAGTTAGTATAATTTATTTTCTTATATTTAAAATCGAAGTATTTTATCATATAATTTTTATAAGTTAAAATTTATACAAACTAAATTATCATAAATGATATTAATTAAATAGGACATGACATATTAAAATATATTATTTAATAAGTTTTAATCAATAAAAACAAATGTGAGTGTGAGTTATACACATGTACATATACATTTCATCCCACTCAAATTTAGCCTCATAACTAACATGTAACCATTCCAAAATCAATTTACCAAATTCACTTCCACGTATTCAAGACCAATAAAATTCAACAATGTTCAAATTCATATCATACACACAACCACATATTAACTGCAGTACCACAACATATAACAACAAAATCAACCGAACCATGAATTAGTTTTCCTACCTTGAGATAAGGGACGAATCCATGTTATGGAGAGTGGGGGCACTTGCCCCACTACTATTTGACACATATATAATTTTTTTTTTAAAAAAATAATATATTTTTAAAAATAAAAATTATATTCTAATAAAATAAATATATATTTAAATTATCATATATGTAAAAAATATAAATTCAGAAAAAATGTTTATTTATTTGATGTCTATCAATCTTTTAAAAGAAATTAATTTTTTTATATATATGTGATAAAGAATACTCTTTAATAACAAATCAATTTTAAAAAAAATTTAATTATAATATATATATATATACATATATTAATACTCATATATATAATG